ATTAATTAATTAATTAATTAATTAAATCTTTATCATATAAAGAGCTCTTATCCTGTTTTTGGATGAAATATGAAATAATAATAAACAAAACTAATTATTAAAACATTAATTATTTTCAATACTTTTGAACTGAAATAAAAATATTTAAATTTTTTACAAATTTAAAATAACAAAAGTAATCAGAACTATTTTTCAGTCAGAACATGTAAGATAGCATAAAAAGCATAGCTAGCAGGTAAATACTGACAATTTCTCAATAAAAGAATTTTTATATGTTCAGGCAAGAAGTCTGACACAATAAAAATAAATGAAACAAACTGGGCTATTTTTGGCCACAATGAATGTAATGGGCCAATAGGAGAAAATAGTGATCACTTGATATAGGAGTCGCACATATTGATGCAGTATAAACAAGGCAACTCATTCGAAGGACAGCTTACTTTAAAATAATGGAAGAACGAAAATATTATTTAGTTAGGTTAACAGCAATACAATTAAAGGAGGAATTAAACAAATACAATACCAAGTTAGCTGGGAGGAAAACTGATCTAATAGAAAGGATAGTTAAAATAATCTACGTCTACATTCTTATCATTAATTATTACGTTTAAACATTTATAATTTCATGTCCTTATGACTGAATATTACATGGTAAGGTTACTTGCCAGTGGATGAAATTTTTAAGGATAAGTAATCACAAAATGCACATTTTTGATTAACAAAAACAGATCTAAAGATCAGTAAAATTGCCGTTGATCTCTTTCACTTTTGTCACTAACCAATGTCACTTTAAAATTAATGATTTTTTTCCAGGAATATGGTCATGTACTGAACCTGATATATGATAACTAATTTATATCAGTACTCGACATGTTAACAATACCAATAGGTATCACTATAATTTAAGACAATACAATCAACACAAACTGTGGCTGTATGTCATATTAGTATATATATTAGTTTAGGTATAGTTTTAGTCCTCTCCTTTGTTCTTTGTTTCTTCTTCCTTCCAGAACTTTCCTTTCTATTTTCCCTTGGGTGGGATGACCGATTCTTAGAACTATGGAGAACAATGAAAGAAAACAGGTCCTAGGGCCGGTGAGATAAAGGAAGGACATTTTTTGGCCAAGACCTCGAGTTGAACAGATATCGAATGTGGTGCTCCAAGTTGCAAATGGCAATGACAGGAGAATTCAAGTGTTTGAGTAGAAAATACGACTTTATCATAGTTATGATAAAAGGTGTAGCAACTAGGTGCAAGGAGAAACCTAGTGAAGATGACAACGATTGATTTTCAAAAAAAGGCTCAATGTAGTATCCTACCCAAAATTGTGAAGTCCAGCAAAACCCCAGGTATTTCACTCCTTACTGTATTCTATTTTCATAGATTCTCTATTCCCTATCATCATCTTTTTTTCCCTAGTTTTCAGTTAGCACATAAGTATTAGTCATAGTTTTCTGTCACCATTTATATTTGTCACGAGTGGTGCATTTTGTCATTGTCTGCCAAAATATTGTTCAATGCCATATTGTAGTAAACTATTGCAGAGTTGGAATTCAAAAGAACCTGTTCATATATGCAAAAAAAAATACTTTGTTTGACCATACTGTCACTTAGTTATTGCATGTCTTTTTCTTTGTCGATCTACAGACCTTTTGCATGAACATCACAAAAGAATACTACTTCCTATGAAGTTCTAAGACAATATAAGGGATATATATCTTAATATTTTACCAAGAGAAAATAATTTTTGGAATATGTAAAATAAATATCAGAGGTTGTATACATTGATACTAGCACTGCATGCAAAGTAGCTTTCACTTTTTTCCCCTATTAGATGATGTGAAAAAAGCAAATGGAGTAAGGACACTCTTTTCACTGGACATCATCTTTTGGAAAATGGACAATATTATATGATAATCTGTTCCTATTAAATTCTTGTCTAGATTAAAGATAATAGTATATGTAGTAGATATGTATGT